TGGGATTACAGGCACGCACCACCATGCCCAGCTAATTTTTTGTATTTTTTAGTAGAGACGGGGTTTCACCATGTTGACCAGGATGGTCTTGATCTTTTGACCTCATGATCCACCCTCCTCGGCCTCCCAAAGTGCTGGGATTACAGGCTTGAGCCACTGCGCCCGGCTTAATTTTTTGTATTTTTAGTAGAGACAGGGTTTCATCATGTTGACCAAGATGGTCTCGATCTCTCAACCTCGTGATCCACCCGCCTCGGCCTCCCAAAGTGCTGGGATTACAGGCTTGAGCCACCGCGCCCGGCAAAACGGTGTTTTCTTTAAAAAGCCAGACAACTTACACTTCAGAAGAAAATAACAGTAATCTGTTTACATATATAAGCCTTTCATACCTGCTTACTAATGTATGGACTTCAGAGTAATGTGGCCTATGTTTTTCCAGGACTGTTTTTTTTTTTTGTTTGTTTTGTTTTTTCCGAGCTGTAGTTTCACTCTTGTTGCCGAAGCTGGAGTGCAATGGTGCGATCTCGGCTCACCGAAACCTCTGCCTCCCGGGTTCAGGTGATTCTTCTGTCTCAGCCTCCCAAGTAGCTGGGATTACAGGCATGTCCCACCACGCCCAGCTTATTTTTGCATTTTTAGTAGAGCTCATTTTGTATTTTTAGTAGAGATGGGATTTCACCATATTGGCCAGGCTGGTCTCGAACCACAGGTGATCCACCTACCTCAGCCTCCCAAAGTGCTGGGATTACAGGCCTGAGCCACCGTGCCCAGCCTGTTGTTTTTTGTTTCTCCATTCCTCCTATTTTCCCTCACAGGACATGAGACTTCACAACATGCTAAAAATAAGCTTTCCAGACCTATATCTAGCCATGAGAGGTCAGATGAAACCTGAGACCAGAGACTCATTTTCTTGCAAAATGCTTTCTCCAAAATATTTTTATTTTATTTTATTTTATTTTTTGAGACAGAGTTTCGCTCTTGTTGCCCAGTCTGGAGTGCAATGGCGCGATCTCGGCTCACTGCAACCTTCACCTCCTGGGTTCAGGCAATTCTCCTGCCTCAGCCTCCTGAGTAGCTGGGATTACAGGCGCTCGCCACCATGCCCAACTAATTTTTAGTATTTTTAGTAGAGATGGGGTTTCACCATGTTGACCAGGATGGTCTCAATCTCTTGACCTCGTGATCCACCCACCTCAGCCTCCCAAAGTGCTGGGATTACAGGCTTGAGCCACCGCGCCCGGCTCCAAAATATTTTTAAAAAGAAAATGGGGGAAATATGAAAGGAAAAGATCTTGGGCCTCTTCAAGCTGCAACTCAGGACAAATCTACGTCCCATTCTATTCAAGTCATCCTTTTCTCACAGAGATCCATGCATATTCTGATTGCCTCCTTTGGAAAGATTTACCAGAAACTCAAAAGAATGCAACCATCTGTATCTCACCTATCTGTAACCTAGAAGTCCCCAGTGCTTTGAGCCTGGGAGCTTGCTTTGAGCTGTCTCCGCCTTTCTTTCTGGAACTAATGTGCTTCTTATATATTGATGTCTCATGTCTCCCTAAAATGTATGAAACCAAGCTGTGCCCCAGCCATCTTGGCCACATGTCCTGAGGACTTCCTGAGGCTATGCCGCGGGCATGTCCTCAACCTTGGTAAAATACTTTCTAAGTTAACTGAGACCTGTCTCAGATTTTCTGGGTTCACAGCTGATTCAAAAGCTGGTTATTGAGACCTGCTAGGTGCTTAGGCCCAGACTTGCCTGCCAGGGCGGGGTGAAGGAAACACCTGTCCCTGCCCAAGTGACTGCTCCTGGATCAGAGCAGGCATGAAGTCTCATGTCCTGTGAAGAGAAAATAGGGAGAAGGAATGGAGAAACAAAAAACAATCTTGAGACTGAGCCAGGCCACCCCTGGCACCGGTGGCCATTGAAGCAATGAAACTCACCTCAGCTTGACTACCACCTGGGCTTGGTCCTCCAGGCTGCATGGGATAGAAAAGCTGGCAAGGGTGAGGGAGAGAAGGGCCCAAGGTCCTGGGGACAGGATGAGACTTGTGCACAGGATCAAGCCCCAGAAGTGGTGACTGCTGCTCCTGTTCAAGAAGCAGGGTCCCAGCGTAATGACCATGTAGGCCCAGAAGCCTGGCACAACTTTTGAGGGTTAAGAGAACAGAACATCAAGGCAGCCCCCCACCTCTCTCCTTGAGGATTCATGCCACCTCCTGGTGCCCCCAGAAACCTAGCAATGCAGTTGGCATAATCCAGGCAACCACCAGGCCAACATTCTCCAGCTGGCCTGAGTTCAAGGGAGAAGCTCTAATGGTGGAACCGCAAATAGAAGCTGAGGGTGCCTGAAGTCCTCCTCCACCCCAGTGCCTTGCCCACCTACAGGGCCTGCTCCTACTGGGCTGGTCAGATTGGATTGGTACAAGTCGTGTCTATGAGTGTGTCTGGGGTCCATCAACTTGATGGACCTGCTGTCTCTGCTGTGCAACACCTGAGCCTCTGACCCGCATCACTCCCCATTACCTTACTCCTGCCCACTCCCCACCTTCCCCACAGAACTGTGCTGGCTCTCCCTGAGTTGCACTTTCCCTAGGACTGTCTTCCAGGTCCCCCAGGGGAAGAAATATGAGATTCATATAGGCTTGTATGGAGGAGGTCACAGCTGGATGGGTACAGGTCACAGCTGTGCAGGAACAGTCACAGCTATGTGGAAAAGGTAACAGCTGTGTGGGGTCATACATGGGAGGGGTTACAGGGATATAGGGCACATAGTTAGGTGGGAAAGGTCACAGTGGTGTGGTCTGGATCACCTCTGTGTGTTGGGTATGGGTAGGGTAGCTCACAGGTATACATGGACCCCATTTGTGTGGAGGGGGTCACAGGTGTGGGGGACAGGCCACAGCTCCTTTCTCCTTTCTTGCTGTCCCATTGTTGAGCACCATCATCTTATTGTTGCAAATTTTTTTTTTTTTTTTTTTTTTGAGACGGAGTTTCACTCTTGTTACCCAGGCTGAAGTGCAATGGCGCGATCTCGGCTCACTGCAACCTCCGCCTCCTGGGTTCAGGCAATTCTTCTGCCTTAGCCTCCCGAGTAGCTGGGATTATAGGCATGTGCCACCATGCCCAGCTAATTTTTTGTATTTTTAGTAGAGACGAGGTTTCACCATGTTGACCAGGATGGTCTCGATCTCTTGACCTCGTGATCCACCTGCCTCGGCCTCCCAAATTGCTGGGATTACAGGTGTGAGCCACCACGCCCGGCCCAACTTTTTTTTTTTTGAGACAGAGTCTTACTTGTCACCCTGGCTGGAGTGCAGTGGTGCAATCTCCACTCACTGCAACCTCCTGGGCTCAAGTTATTCTTGTGCCTCGGATGACCAAGCCGCTGGGACTACAGGCGTGCACCATCACGGCCGGCTAATTTTTTTACTTTTAGTAGAGACAGGGTTTCGGCATGTTGGCCAGGCTGTTCTTGAACTCCTGGCCTCAAGTGATCCACCCGCCTCAGCCTCCCAAAGTGCTGGGATTACAGGGGTGAGCCACTGCACCCGGCCCATCACTTTATTGACCAACACCTGAATCTTCTCTCCAGCCTGGCCTTCCCACACCATGGCCATGAGCACCTGAGACTGCTCCACTTCTGTGTCTGCCTCCTTTAGTGTGTGAATTTACCAAGTCACCTTTCCGGTGCTGCCACCTCACTCTCTCCTCTTCACTCTCTACCCATCACCGGCAAGAGAGGTGAGGGAAGGCTGTCATTACAAACTGGGTTGGCACTGGCTTGGCCGGGCTTCTTTCTCCTATCTGGCATCTTGGTCTTCACATCTAGTGTGCATCTACCTCTACTTTGTCACTCCCACAAGGACAGGGGTCTTTGTTGGGGTGATTCACGGATGCATTCCCAGCACAGGCGCACTGCGTGCTCAGTGTTTACTGAATGGTGAGGCCATCTCCATCATCAGGCCAAGTCAGGCCTGGTGCTGCTCTAGGGCTGCCCCTCTTGCCTCTGCCCACAGCAGCCCCTAAGCCACACATCAGCCCTGAACTCCATGTTCACCTTTACCCACTCCAACTTCCTCCAGCCTCTGCCCACGACTTCTTCCCAAGCATCGAGCTGCCACTTTCACCTTTCAGAACCCAATGTGGGAAGCACCTCCAAAGGCATCACTCCTGCTTCTCTGCTGCTGGCTGCCCTTGCCACTCAGTGGCTTCTTGAGTCAGTCTCCCCAGAGCCAGAATCTCTTGAAGCAGGGCTGCATGATGAGTCATCATGGACACGGATGGGACCCCAGGTTTGGGGTTGCGGGCTGAGGGGAGGGGCAGAATGCACTCCCGTCAGAGGCAGGGCTAGTGAAGCATCTCAGAGCTGGTGACTCCAGCTGCTCCTTCTTTCGTTGGGGAGAGACTAGCCGTGCTCTCCCACACCCAGGCCCAAGATGCTTCCTTCTAGCCCCATCAGGCATCTCCAGAATGGGACAGGGACTGAACCTCAGGATTCAGATCCCAATCCCCTGCCCACCTCCCACCACCAGATCTGAGGGAGGGCTGTGACCGTGATGAGAGGTGCATGTGGCTGGAGTCCACTGCCCTTGGGAGCAGGGAGTGGAGGAGACACACTTGCCTCTGGGACCTGCAGGGAAGATCAAACGTTTCTCCCTGGGTTGGCAAAGAAGATGGCACTGGCCCGGCTGCGGGGACAGGGGCAAGTGGTAGCAACACAATGAACCCCCTCCCTCACACAAGGTGAGGCCCAATTCCCTTGCAACCAATATTGGAGAAAGCAAGGTCTTTGGTGTTGGGATGGAATGTGGGTCCCTTCACTTCCAGTGGCTCCTGCCCCAGCAGAACAGTTCCAGAGTGGGCAGCTCTGGGACCCCAGGTCTTGGGGAATATATCTTACTTGAGAAGCCCCCAGCAGAGGGTTTCATAGAGACAGAGCTGGGCTCAAACCCCATGGGAGATTCTGGACTCTCTCACATACTCTAGCCCAGGTACAAGTTCCAAGCAGAGAAGTGGTTGTTTTATATTTAATTTACAAAAGAGACCCCAAAATAATAATAATAAACTATCCAAGGCAAGAGAGTAGGGTCAGGTCCTCCCCAGCCCAGCTGTATCCTCCTTCCCCTCTGGCAGGGAGAGAAGGGGCCTCCCAGGGGACTTCCCCTCCCCCTTAGAACAGGGGGGTTCGAGCTGTTATAGATGCCCTCCTGGGCATCCTGCAGGCTCTGCCCACTCCAGACTCCAGTTTGTCCACCCCCTGCAGGCTCCTATATGCCTAAGAGAGCCCTTGTGGTAGAGGCCAGTCTGCTGGGCAACTAGGCAGGAGACCCCTACAAGGTCCAGGAAAAGGCCAGGGCTGCCAGAGCCAGCAGACTGGTGAGGTGGGACCCAGCCCAGGCCTCACTGGCACCCCCAGCTGCCTGCCTATAGTCCCACTGGCATTGCTCACCACCCCAGCCCAAGTAGCACTGGCAGCGGAAGTGTGTCTGCAGGTGGTGACGGTCAGCCGAGCTGAGATTCCCCACAGGTCGCAGCTGGGGCTCACCAGGTGCACGGCCAGGCACTAGGCGGAAGCTGTTGGCGCTGAGATGCAGGAAGGTACTGGCACTGGGGTTGCGGCGCACACAGCGCCCATGGCCATGGCATTGGGCCCAACTGCAATATTGGGTGGCCCAGGACACATTGACCACGTAGGGGACCAGCAGCCGTGTCAGGTAATCCTTGAGGTACTGGCAGGTCTCCTGGAGGCAGAAGCCAAGGACCATAGGTCAGAGTCAGCTGTCTCAGCCCACAGGCCCAGACGGAAACTCTGTGTCCACACTATGATGACCATACCTTATTTTAACTGCACACATTTGTGCATTCAATCTGTGCCTGAGACACACGGTCCCTCTTCCTGCCGAGAAGTGGGTGGGGGCAGAGACCGGAACCCAGTTGGGCAGATGGGGAAGGATGGAACTCAACAGCTGTTCAGGACAGCATTTCCTCTTTCCTGAGAGCAGGGCAGGGGTGACCTCCTTCTCTGTTGGGACCCAGGATGCCTCGGGTGGGAGACAGACAAGGGGACTGAACTAGGTTTGCCCATCTGAGGTTGGTAGTCAAAGACCCTAACTCTCTGCCTATCCCGTAGACTGAGATCTGGCAGGCTGGGTCTCACTTACCGTGCTTGTAGTGTACCCTGCGTCGCCCCAGAGGATGACACCAGCTGCGCCCAGGGCTGCACTCTCGCCAATGGTAGAGATGAGGTCCATCTATTCAAGAAAAGGGATGGTCACTGGGGAAGACTGAAACCACAGGGTGGCAGGGACAGACAGGGCAGTCAGGCACCAGCCTGTTTCAACCTGCTGACCTCCCAGCCCAACCTCCAGGCAGAGGCTCATCTGTTTTGCTTCCTTCTTTTTTTTTTTTGAGATGGAGTTTCGCTCGTTACCCAGGCTGGAGTGCAATGGCGCGATCTCGGCTCACTGCAATCTCCGACTCTTGGGTTCAGGCAATTCTCCTGCCTCAGCCTCCTGAGTAGCTGGGATTACAGGCACGTGCCACCATGCCCAGCTAATTTTTTGTATTTTTAGTAGAGACGGGGTTTCACCATTTTGACCAGGATGGTCTCGATCTCTTGACCTCGTGATCCACCCACCTCGGCCTCCCAAAGTGCTGGGATTACAGGCTTGAGCCACCGAGCCTGGCTGCTTTCTTCTTAAATGTTTTAAGTCCATTCCCACCCCACTTTTGGGCCTGTTTCCCAAGCCAAGGGCACACTCGAGCCTAGGGTGCAGCGATCAGGATGGACTCCAAAGTTAGAATGCCTGAGCCCCAGTCTCTGTTCTGGTCTGGATTTGCTAGGTAGCTTTGGGCAAACTTCTCAGCATTTCTGTGCCTCAATTGTTCTCATCTGAAAAATGGGGATGATGTCAGCCTTTGAGTTTAGAGAGAAATTTTTTTTTTTTTTTTAGACGGAGTTTCGCTCTTGTTACCCAGGCTGGAGTGCAATGGCGCGATCTCGGTTCACCGCAACCTCCGCCTCCTGGGTTCAGGCAATTCTCCTGCCTCAGCCTCCTGAGTAGCTGGGATTGCAGGCACGCGCCACCATGCTCAGCTAATTTTTTGTATTTTTAGTAGAGACGGGGTTTCATCATGTTGACCAGGATGGTCTCGATCTCTTGACCTCGTGATCCACCCGCCTCGGCCTCCCAAAGTGCTGGGATTACAGGCTTGAGCCACCGAGCCCGGCCTAGAGAGAAAATATTTGAGGGGATGTGGAGCAGCCAATAAACCATAGGTATGCATAGTCCTATAGTGGCCCCTGGTACCCCAAATGTTCAGTAGACCCTCAAGGAGGAAAAAGGCAGGGCCCTGGAGACATACCTCACTCAGCCCCCTGAGCCTGCGGCTATAGGTGGGCCGTGTGAAGACGTAGACTGGGAGTGCATGGTTGGCATGGTGGGTGTGAGCCACACGAAGGGCCTCCTGAACACGGAAGCTCACAAAGTTGCGGCCATGGGCGGAGGAAGCGAGTGTCTCATCCAGGTAGACAGATGGGAAAAGGGCTGTGCTGTTAGCCCACAGCCAGGCCAGCTGGTCGTTGCGGGCCACTTCAACATCAGGGCAGCGGCCTGTATAGCTCTCCCAGTTCTGCACATAATCATGATTGTAGCAGTCAGGAAAGAGGTAGAAGCCCCAGAGATGCCGGGGCCGCACTGCCTTGACATAACGCAGTGTCTCCAGCATGAACTGCCGTGCTGCACACTCAAACTCATATTGTGCCTGCTTGACTACGCGGTCTGCTTGCCAGTCAGGGTGACGACTGGCCACCAGCTGGCGTGATGACCGGCGGTACACATCTTTGTCCTGCCAGTTGCGCACCCACACAGGCCGCCAGTCTTCCCAGTCAATAACCGCCAGCCCCGCAGGCTCTGGTGTCCGAATGTAGTGCTCCACATGATCCCGCAGCATCTGCAGGTGTGCCCAGAGGCTGCCATTCTGTGGCACACCACCATGCACAGATCTTCCCGCAGAATCGAAGCGTGGATACAGGCCTAGACGGTCGCGGTAGAAGATGGTGATATTCTGGTTCACAAAACCTTCATTAGGTGAGGCCTGCACGTCAAAGGCATTCAGGTCCAGTGGCACCTTGAGACGTGGGCCACAGTCCTGTGTGGGCACGTCCCATGCCACCACAAAGGGGCGGCCCGTGAAGATGGGTGGTGCTGTGGGCTTGAGCTCCATGGCCCATGCCACCGCCAGCACCAGGGCCAGTGTGACGGCAGGGCCTGGGCCTACCCGCATGCTGGGGGCTGCAGGAAGTGTCACCTGCCTGGCACCAGCTCAGGAACTGGAAGAAGGGTGGGGGACAACAAGTCAGTCTGGGGAATCCTGGAGGTGCCTACCTTAAGTCCCTCTATGCTCCCAAAGCCCATGCTGTGTGGGGCATTGTGCTCATGGCTGTAACAGGTTTGAGAGATCACAGGCCACTGCAGGGCAGGCAAGACACCCTGGGAACTCACTGCCAGAGCACAAGGCTCCTTCCTGGAGCAGGTAGCCTATGGCTGGGCAGAAATCTCTATTAGGTCTGTGACCCTTTTAAGAATTGGATAAATGGGGCTCACCAGTCACATATATGCCTGCATACTATGAAGTATACGGTTTCAGAGAACCCTGAACCCCTGATGCCCACCCTGTATACCGTGAAGAACCCTTGATCCAGAGAAACGAGAGCATTTGGGTAAAGCAGGGTTCAGCTCCTGGAGGCTAGGAAGCTAGAAGGAAGGCAGCCTCGAGGCTTCTATCCGTGTAACACCGGCCCGGCAAAAGAGTGAGGCTGTCAGGACTTTCTCTCGAGTGCTGAAACTCTCCCGGCTTAGAGGCCCCGCGGGGACAAAGGGTCAGCGGACCTCCCACAGCGGCGCCGGCAGATCAGCCCTTCCCTACACCGCCACGGGGAATGCGCGCGCCCGCCTCCCCCGCCCAGCCGCTCAGGGCTAGAGCGCGCTCCCCCTGGCCTTTGTGCGGGACCCCGCCCCCGCCCCGCACGTGGGGCCTGCGCCCAGCCGGGTGGGGGTAGGGTTTCTGGGCCGCCGCTCCGCGAGCACCCCCGGGGATTCAGACCCCAGCCCAAAGAGAGAGAGCCGCCAGGTTTGCACCGCCCGCCCTCACCTCGCGCGGAGCGCGACCGGGACCCGCGCCAGGGCCACCGCCATCCCGGGCCCAGCTCAGCCCGCTCCGGCCGTTCGCCCAGGCGCGGCCCCGGCTCAGCGCCTCTGCTGGTTCCGCCCCCAGGCCCGCGGGCCCTTTAAGACTCCACTGTGGAGGTGGGCCCGGGACTGGACTTGCGACCGGGTCGGGAAGGTGTGTTCCGCCTTTTTCGGTGCCAGTGCCGCGTTTCGGGCGCGAAGATCCCCAGGTCCTCTGAAGAGGAACTTGGCCACCCATCTGGAATCCTAAGGCCCCTCTGAGCAGGGCTTTCTCTAGGAGTCTCAGTCACAAGCGCCAGTCAGCCTGAAATGTTCCCCCTTGCAGCCCGAGGCCGGTGGTACAGTCCCGCCCGCTCCGCGGCGCCGCCAGCCCCTTAAAGGGACAGTGTGAGGGACGTGGTGGGCGACGGGGAGGGGAACAGGAGGAGGTGTTTCCCCGCTCGGCCGTCAGGAGATGCTGTGGTACTCCGCGGTTGGCGGGGGGCAGCACAGATCTGGCTCTGCACCCCCGAACGTAGACGCCAGCTGTGGGGCCCCTTTGTGTGGTAAAAGGGACTTTGACCTGAGGCGACCTCTGGTCTCAGTAATGCCCCGCCTCCCACGAATCAGGGGCCCCCTTCTCTGATCTGCTGTCTAAAGGGAGGCCCCGCCCTCTGCCAGACTGAGAGAAGGGGCCAAGTACCGCTTCTTAGCCTGCCCGGGGAGGGCCAAGGCAGTCATTGTCCTGGCACCCCGATTATGGGTAGCGAGCGGCTTGGCCGGCGGGGCTGGGGACAGGGAAGCTCAGAGGGGTGTAGGGGGTTGGGCGCCCCCCTCCTTGACTCGCATCAGGGCGGGCCAGTCATCCCTGAGATTCTGTTCTTTTCTGCCCAGTCTCAGGTCCTCTGGGAGCCTGGCTCCCTCTCAACCCCGAGGAAGCTGCCACACCTTGCAGCAGTTTCTGGCTGGACCTCCGAGAGACCCAGCAAGAGGGTTCTCCCAGGGTTTCCACCCCGTATCCAGAGCCCTCTACGCTCCACAGGCCCCTTCCGGTGGGGAGCAGGCTTAGAGCTGGACCCTGGCGAGCCCCGTTCGAGACCACCTCGGCTCTTCCTAGGTCCGCTCCCTTGTGGGAAACTCAGTTCCCCATAGGGCCCGCGTCTGCCCCGGCAGCCCCTAACCCTCCCAAGAGCCAGGAGAGGCAGGGAGCGCTGCTCGAGCGCATCTGTGGGGGTGCAGACCAGTCGTCTGCACTGGCTCACCTGTGTGGGAGTCCGTCGGCCCAGTAGGTCGGCGGCCTCCCTCCTTCCTGGGGTGAGCCTCTCCAGCTAGGCTACTTGCGCCAGCTGCTGCCCGCTGGGCAGCCCGCCGAGGACTTGATAAACCCCATTCCCTCCCATCCGCTCCCGCCTCCCATCCCAGCCCTTTCTCCTCACTTCCTGCTGCCCCCTGAGAGGAAAGGGCCAGGAACAGGCGCGGGGGAGGAGATCGCCTTGACCCTGTTTCCCTCCGGAATGCCTGCTGGCTGGCTGCCCTCCCCACCCTTCTCCTGAGTAGGATCTGGCCCCTGCCAGCTGCGCCAGGTGACAGGAAGGCTATGGGCTCAGGATCAGGTGCCAATATCCCCCACACCCATAGCTTCCAACACTAAGGAACCTCTTCACTGCTCCCCTAGGGTTGGGGTCCATCCTCAAATCCAGTAGGGTGTGAGAGGATGGGTCAGATGGTGGTGCTTTTGGGAGTCAAAATACCTGGGGGGTGTTCAGCTGATGGTCCCCCAGAGCAGGTGCTAAAGAAGGGAGCTAGCCCTGGGGGGCAAGGATCCGGGGAACTTCCAGTAGCTGAGTCCATTTTTTTTTTTCCATTGAGAGCAGAAGCATCCCGTGTGACAGAGAGGACAATGTGTTGGTGAGTGTGACTGTGTGGGTTGGGGAGGAGGGGACAGGGGCTGGGAGGGTTCTGCAGAGTGCTTTCGTGCTGGAAGACATTCCTGGGTGGATTTCAGAATCTGCTACCCAGAGTAGGGGGCTTCTTACAACATGGATGAGGAAAGGGGTATATTCCTCTAGGAGGGATGTTCCTGTGGCTGGCCCTAGGGAGGACTGCAGGAAGGTTCCAGCAGACCTCTCCAGAGGTGAAGCCAAGTCAGCCTACCCTCAAATCACCCCGAGCCAACCCCTCAGCAACCCAATGTCCCAATGTCCAGGAGCCTCTCCCCCAAGAGAAGGCTGTGTGAGGGGTAGGTGAATACCCTGGAGTCTAGCCCTGAGGACCAAGGAGTCCAAGACATGGTAGGGGAAGATGCAGTGTCCTTGTGCCACTGTGCTGGCTTCACAGGGGTCAGAGGCCTTGGAAGCACCATGGGTGGAGACCCATGGGGAAACAAAGGCTAGGCCAGACTGTCCCAGGGCAGGGACACTTCCTCAGGCAGTCAGCAGGAAGGAAATGAGCACAGCCCAGCGGGAGAGAGTGGGGAAGTGCTGCCTGACCTCCATTGTTTCCAGCTTTGGGGTCAGCTGGGCAGGCCCAGCACAGGGAGTTCCCCCAGGCTGGGACAGTGGTGGTAGGAGATAGGATGCTATCTGGGATGGGAGAGCCCTGGGCCTTGAACAGCCAGTAGAGGGGGACCATGGAGGATGACAGGGCCTCATTTGGCTTCCTATGGGGGGTATAGGGAGGCACCCCACTGTGGGTAACCCCCCATATAGGCACTGAGGAATGAGAGCTAAGCAGAACTCTGGCACAGTTAGGGCCTGAGGAATATCTCAATTTATAGTGTTACTACTCAGCTATTTCCTTTTATAATCATATATTAGTTTATAGAATTAGGGCTTGAAGAATCCCTTTATATAATCCTCTATATATAATCATATAATAGTTGATAGTAGGAGTGCCTAAAGAATATTTTCCTACATATATACCTATAAATATATCTTAGTTCATAATCTGAGGAATGCCTAGACTGGACACAGTACACAGCATGCATTAAGGAATAAGCAGTGATAATTGGAGGAATGCCTAGAGCAGACACAGTGCAGAGCATGATTTAAGGGAAAAACAGTTATACCAGGACAAGAATCCATGGCCCAGGCAGCAGCGTTCAGTATATAAAGATACCCGCTGTATGGCAGGCTTGGGGCAAGAGCCACTCCTCCTGATAAAGGAGTTGTAGGACCTTGCTCCAGTTCTTGTGGAAGGCTGCCCTCAGACCAGCAATACACCTTGATGTCTGTGAACGTTATCAGCTCTTGCTACTGTGCTGCTTGAAAAGCATCTTCCCATAGAACCCACTGGAAGCTGCCAGAAGGTGGTGGTAACCTTGACAGCTCTGTCACTGCTTAAGTCACTGCTAAGTCACTGCTCTGTGACTTAAAGCATCCTCCTATACATCTTCTTAGTAGTTTGCCCATAGATAGAAGTATTGCACACTGCACCCTCTTCACTGTGCACGGCCCACCTTCAAGCCACGGTGACCTAATGGGGGTGAACCCCTTACTGCACACAGCAAGTTCCCTTGCCTTCATGGGAACAGGCCCCTTGCTGTGCACTGTCCACCTCCTGGCCTAGGTGACCTAATGGGGGTGGACCCCATGTTTTATTGCTCACGACCCTATCACTATCCTTAAAGATGATTTCACTCACTGCCCTGCCCCCTAACCTATACACAATAAATATTCATGCTTCTGGATATTCGGGGCCTCGCCTCACTCCACTCATAGGTGGTGCGGCCCCCTGAGCCCAGCTACATTTTCTTTGTACTTCTGTGTCCTGTCTTTATTTCTCAGATACTGTGCCTCAGCACAGCATAAGGCTCACCCCATGACCCTGTGGGGCCCTCAGCCCTACACCCCACAGAACTGCAAGTCCAGGCTGGATATGGTGATCCTGCTCTGGGCTTGACAAGTTCAAAACCTGGGAGGCCAGCTCCCTACACTCAGAAGCCTGTCCCTGAACTCTCCCCTCTCTAACTAGTAGTTGGGCTTAGAGTCAAAGGCTAAGCCTAGCAGAGAATCTGCCTCATAGCAGTCCCTGAGAACTGCAGGTAGAATGACCACAGTGGGCAGGCTGCAGGTGGTGAGAAGATGGAGGCAACAGAGAGCAGGGGCAATACTGGTGGGCCGAGCCTTGCTTGCTGAAACAGAAGCCTGAGCTCATTCTCCCATGGTGTCCACAGGCAGGCCTCAGAGGAGGCACTTGAGTTTGGGGTGCCAAGCCTGGAAGTAGGCCAAGGGTGTGGGGACACCTATCTAAGTGCTGTCCATTAAAGCTGGGCTTTTAAGGTCCATGGGGCTCAGGCCATGACCCCACTTAGGGTCAGCTGGCAATGCTGCAGCTAGGGCATATATTCAGAACTATCTGGGGTCATACTCTCTCACCTTAGGTCAGGCAGGTGGGGCCAATCCTAAGTGAGGTATCCCAGGGCTTTGATTCCAAGGGTCACCGCCACATTGAACATAACAGATAAGTTAGTGCCCTCCCAGCCCAATCCTGAGGGGGCCTGCAGTGAGGTCTGTGTGAACACACAGCCACCTGCTGGCCACAGCTGGGATGGCCACAGGCTGGGCTCAGGCTTACCCCTGGGCTTTGCTTGGCCTTAGGGGGCCTGCCAGAGTCTTGAGCCAGGCCTACCTATTGAGCCTAAGTAGTAGTCTAGACACTGGGTGTCACAGCCCCATAGGATGCCACTCTCAAGTGCAGGATCTACAAATCATTTTATTGAAATTGAACAAAGAACACAACAGTCTTCCTAGGCTGGGGCCCACCCTCCCCAAGCCATTTCCCACACTCTAGAAGCACAGTGCTTGCACAGTATTAAAAAAAAAAGGTCACCTCTATATAGAAATCAGACTCTGCCACGACATCATCATGGACTATTTACAAACCTTCACATTTTAAGTATTCCTTTTATGGTTTTCCCTCCTTTCCGTCCCTACCCAGGGGCTCCAGTACTTTCCCCTGACTCATCCTGAAATGGGGTTGGGGGTGGTTACTATAAGGGAAGGGGTGGCAGGCTACTCATAACTACTGGCACCAGCCTTAGGGTGTTGTCCCTTACCACAAGGTAGTGAATAGACCCCTCCAATTGGTAGGGTGTGGAGGACTTGATGCAAAGGCATGGGGGATTAGACAGAATAGGTGGGTTGGAGTAACTCCCCATAGGCACAAGCATCTGCAGCCTGTCCTGACCCCGGCCTGCACACTCTCAACTCCTCAAGTGGGGGTGTGTGTGTGGGGGGGCAACAACGAGTTGCAGTAGGGGGATCAGCCCAGCCCTGGGTAGAGGGAGAAGCCCCCACCTGGTCCCCACTCCTATCAATAGCCAGCAAACTGTCCATCCATCTGAAGGCAGGAACAAATGGCAGGTAGGTAGGAAGAATCAGGCTGGCACTGCCCCCAGCCTCTGTCCAACACAGGAGGAATCGAGGTAGCAAATGGCTGAAATGCTCTGACTAGGGGGTCAAAAGGGAAGTGAAGGAAAGGACAGTGCCCACAGCCTAGGGGCTGGGAGAAGGCAGACCTTGCTTGTAAAGTGCTGTAGCCTCTAGCAGGGCTAGGCCCCAGGAAAACTTGGAAAGCAGACCAGGCAAGGAACCAGGTACTGGGCATTCCTGACTGGTATATGCCCTGCCATGCTTCTTGCAGGGGTGGCTGGGGAGAGGGGGGTGCTAACTCTGCCATTAGCCTTCACCAGCCACCAACCACCTCTTGTCAACACACAAACCAACACCCAACCAATACTGTGGGACTGACCCGCTCACAGCTGAAGGTTATGGGCCAACGGAGTTTATTCAGGGTTGTGGTCCCAGCCTGGGGCTCCTCAATGGAAGCCACACCTCGAGCCTGGGAGTTTCTTGCTGGGGCAGGGGATGCTTCTGTCTGCCACCTCCCAGGCTCACACCTCATAGAGGATCACAGGAAAATCCACATGGATGCGGGGGGGATCCAGCTTCACGATGCCCTACCATAGAAACAGAAGCTAGTGAGGGTCAGGTTAGGGCCTCCACTTCAGGAAGCTTTCTTGTTCCTCCCAGAACCCTCCCACCCCAAGAGCCCCCACCATGACAGCAGATCCCATCTGGGTCTGCCTCCACACGCTTAGTGTAGGCTCTGTGACCACTGTCCAGCCCCTCACCTGAGGAATCAGATTCTTATGCACTCGCCTCAGCTTGGCCCGCTTCTGCCCGTTCTTAGTGACGATTGTCTCCTCATAGAACTCGTGAGCCAGATCCCCGTCCTCATCATAGAACATGGAGCTGTGTAGAGGGAGAGGGGAAGAGGCTGAGCTGGAGCCCCAAACCTGGGCATGGCAAATGTCACAGACCTCAGAGAAGGTCCTCCCAACCCCAGGTGGGAAGAAAAGAGAATAATACGCCTGGAGAATCCTTTTTTAAAAAAAATTTGTATTTTTTTGGAGACAGAGTCTTACTCTTTGCCCAGGCTGGAGTGCGGCATTGCGATCTCGGCTCACTGCAACCTCTGCCTCCTGGGTTCAAGCAATTCTTGTGCCTCAGCCTCCCAAGCAGCTAGGACTACAGGCATGCACCACCATACCCTGCTAATTTTCTGTATTTTAGTAGAGAAGGGGTTTTGCCATGTTGCCCTGGCTGGTCTTGAACTCCTGAACTGAGGCAATCCACCTGCCTTGGCCTCCCAAAGTGCTAGGATTACAGGTGTGAGCCACCGTGTCTGGCCTGCCTGGAGAATCCTTTCCCTGGGGCTTGGAGTCTACTAGAAGAAAGTGGGAAGTGGGGTGATGGGTGGGCAGTGCTACTATGTCAGACCCCCAAGAAGAGAGGCCACACCAGAGCGCACTATCCAGGCAGCCCACCAAGGCCAGTTCTCATCACTGATTTGCTCAGAAAGGGCAGCTATTCTAATATGAGGCCTTTGCCTTCACCCAGGACTTCAAGAGTGGGCAGGGTTGTGGCCTGGGCATGTTGGTCTCACTCCAGAAGATGCTGTTGGCCCAGTGTCAAAGACTGAGATAGCAGATGCCTAAGCTAGGAAGGAGCCCAAAGGGATGAAGGCAGTGTCTCCCGGACCTCATGCCCCAAGTGGCTGGTGAATTGCCACTGTTGGGTCTTCCTGTTGTCTACAGCCAAATCTCCAGCACGGGGAGCACCCATCTCCAGGAGTCCACTAGGACCAAGCCAATCTGGTACTCTTGTCTGTGCCCCTAGGAGACTGGGGTGGGGACTGGGTGGGTAGGTCAGCGCTCTATATCTGGAAAACATAACTGGGTGAGTGTCTTTTCTCCTCAGGCTCACTCCCAATACTGGGGCCTATCCCTGCTTTCCCAGCCACTACCCTCAGAGGCTCTGCATCACTACAGGAAAAGCAGCCTAAACAGAAGGTCATTATCCCCTTGGAAGAACTGATGGGAAAAGGCTAGGAGCCTTTAATATGCAGACTGAGACGGAAGCGATGAAAAGAAGAGGTCCTGATGTCTCATGGAGGCCCTAGCTTAGCTTTACCATGCAGAAGGCCGGCCCAGTGACAAGCCTCAGGCTCACTATTCTCTAGGGAGATCTTCATAGTGGCTAAGCCGCCTGGAGACCACTCCCCGGCTTTCTCCACCCCTATCTCCAATGGGGGCTCAGAATATGGGGGTCGTCCTGGCTCGGTTGTAGTGGTGTACAGCAGTGGAAGGCCGCCCGCCTGTCCCCCACACCTAGGGTGGAACCCATGCCCTTACCCGCGGCGCGTGAATACGAAGGGGGGCACAGCTCGGCCCCGAGGCCGCACCAAAGCTTGCTCAGCGCCTGCTGCCTCTGAGCCGCCGCCCCCGGCCGCCGAGGTGAAGGGCCACAGGCCCCGAGCTTTGGAGCCGCTGGCGCCCATGTCAGGGCCGCCGGCGCATGGTTGGCCCCGCGGCCGCTCTGCTTACAGCGCAGTCGGCGCCACCATAGCCTGCTCCAGCAGCTGCTCACAGGTGCCGCCGCCGCCGCCGCCTTCCGCAGGTTCGGCTGTCTCCACAGAAACCTCACTTCCGGTTCCGCACGCTGCCGCCTTTGATTGGCTGTTGCTCTAGTCGGTCCGTGGGGCGGGACCAATGGTCGTCCTGAGATGCTGTGCACCCCAGCATGCGTTGCGAGATCCCAGGTCCCAGCAAGCCGCGCTCTGACCAACTGGGACAGCTCCCACCGAGGAAAGTGGTGGTCGTGAGTCCTCCCAGTTTCTTGGGTGTATATGGCAGCTCCGACGTCCCCCAACACTTGAGTTCAGGCCTAGCAGGCCTTCTCAACCACCAGTCCTCAAATCAGCACTTCAGGGCCTCAGGCCCGACCGCTGGGTGCCCATCTGGGTTCTGTTTTCACAGCTGTATTTTTGTCATTGCCATGTAACCAAGTCGAAGGAAAATTAAGGAACTGGCCAAATTCATATAGTTACATTCCGGTCTGAAGAACTTCGAATTGTGTTTTCAAACCTAGCGAGTGCATGCCTAATGAAAGCAAGAATTGTTAACAGCTATATCCTTGGTGCCATGAGCAGTCTGGTGCGCGATGGCAGGTCAGTATTTGAAGGGGTTATGCCACAGCTTCTCCCAGAGCGTGGTGTGTGTGTGTTGGTTTTCTTTTCTTTTTTTTTTTTGAGATGGAGTTTCCCTCTTGTCGCCCAGGATGGAGTGCAGTGGCACGATCTTGGCTCACTGCAGCCTCCGCCTCCCAGGTTCAAGCGATTCTCCGGCCTCAGCCTCTCGAGTAGCTGGGATTACAGGCACCCCCACCAGGCCCGGCTTTTAAAAAATTATTATTTTTTTATTTTTAGTAGAGGCGGGATTTCACCATGTTGGTCTGGCTGGTCTTGAAAACCCCCGACCTCAGGTGATCGACCCTGGCCTCCCAAAGTGCTGGGATTACAGGTGTGAGCCATCATGCCCAGGGCAGTTTCCCTAAGTTCTAACTGTAGTCCATTCTTGTCCCCACCACAACCTGAGCCTCAGGGAGCTGAGTGATGACCAACTATATATATATGGATACATCTTTTCACAAGTTGGTCCATGGTGACTCTGCAAGACACCTGTGGGCCTGTCCATCACCCTTGGCAATTTCCAGCAGCATGAGGGGCAACTGCAGCTGTGTGCCTGTAATAGAGAGTCCAGGCTGGACACGGTGGCTCACACCTGTAATCCCAACACTTTAGGAGGCCAAGTTGGCAGGGGCCTAGGCAACACAGAAAGACTCCCATCTCTACTATACTTTATATGTAAAAAAGAGTCCAAGAGCAGGAGGATCTTTAAAACTTTATTCAGCCAATTCTCTCAGGCCTCAGGCCCCAGGCCCTGATGATGACTGTCACCCCGACCCTTCCCCCACAGGAGCCATTCAGCTGAGGCCACCACACATTACAAACATTCATGCACTTCATGAAAAATACCTGAGGGAGAGACCCTGGCTTTGATTAGCAAATGAGGTATGAATCTGGGCCAGTGCCCACATTCACACAGACCCTGGCCCAGGGATATCCTCCTCCTATGAGGCATTAAGGCACTTGCTGCACTGTGAACCAGCACTCCCTGACCTTGGGGTGTGTGAGGAGTTGGCACTGTAGAGAGAAACCAAGACTCTTTCTCAATGCCTGCCTTATTCTGAGGACCCACCCTTAGCTCTGATAAGGATATCCTGAGACCACATTCAAGATCCAAAACCTTTCCCCATAATAGATGAGGGCCCTCACTCCTGCAAACATGACCCTGTTCTGTTTGTAGGGTCTCCAAGATTCTCACTTCTGAGACACAAATTGAGGAGACTTCTGTTTGCTCCACTCCTGCTCCAAGCCTAGAGCAGCTTCCCAGGGTAGCCCTGGCCCACCAACGCCCAGTACAGAGGGGCAGAGGGGTACAGAGCCATACCCAGCTACACCCACAGGTAGACACAGGGGGCAAGCTCCTTCGCTGTTCTCTGGGCTCATTCCCCCAACAGAGGATGGCCTCCATGCACACTCATTCCACAGGTCCCACTGGCCCTGTCACACTCACACAGCAACACAGCATGCTCTTGGCGCTGCCTGCTCTCCGCCTTCCCCTGGGGGTACAAGAGGTCACCCCAGAGGGCAGGCGTGCAGGGCCTCTTGGATCTTCTGGCGGCAATAGGAATACTTCTGCAGGATCTGGCGGAGGTGCGCCTCTTCCTCCCGCTGCAGAATACGCAGGAAGTTATGTAGTTCAGGCATGCTGAAGGCGTCCCACTGCAAGGGGGTAAAGGGGAATACGGGCTACAGAAGGGATGGCCAAGCCAGCAGACCCTCCTCAGAGAAGACTAGCACCTCATGTTCACAAGAGCTAGGGCTGGGCTTTCTGATGTCAGGCTTCTGGCTGAATGAGCTCTGCTAGGATCTGTGACAGCAGTTTGTATGGAAGACGGGCCCTACAAAATGGTCACCTTACTGAGGCAACCAAATCAGATGTTTCCTGTGGACAGGTCAGGCACATTCTGGGTCTAATTCCACTCCACAGCTTCCAGGTAAAAAGTCTAATGCCTGAAGGGGCTCCCTCATGTCATTAGATGGACTCCTGCATCTCCAGAAGATCTTCCACACCAGGAAAGATCAAAGCACCAAGACAATTCTTCCTGGCCTCTCAGGACAACCCTATGCTTTGGCATGAGTGGTCTGGAAGCCTTCACTTGGGTTACAATGCCTATACACTCCTAAAACTGCTTCGCAAGGCTTGTCCTCCAGCACAATTCCTCCTCCAAGCCTTACTGTAGCAACAGTCCATCAGCCCCGTCCAGTGACAACCAAGAAACTAAGGAGAAGTATATACTCACGTTCACCTCCCCAGAGTCATTTTCCTTCAGGACGAAGCTCAGGGCCTTGTCACTGGGACCCGCCAGGAGCCGCAGCCGCAGCGGCTGCTCATCATCTGACAGCTTCCGCAAGTACACTGTGAAGGGAAAGTAATGACCAGAGACAGGCCAGCTGCTCAGTCCCTGCATGCACGGTATATACCCTCACATGGGGCAGGGTGGGGTAGGAAGCCCACCTTGGCCGTGACGCTCAGCCCGCTCAAAAAGTGCAAACTTGCGGGGGTCATCCACCACCAAGAACTTTCGCAGCAGGGCCTCAATGACCTCACGTGCCCTTGTGCGTGACAGCACATGCAGGTGCTTGACAGTATCCTTGGGCAGGTAAAAGGAAGTGCGGCGCCTGACACTTGCACTCCGTCCTGGCCCCTGCCGGGCATCCTGCAAGGAGGGTGGCTTCTTGCTGGAGGGCACTGAGACAGGGCGCACCAGTTTCAGCTGAACCTTGATGAAGCCTGTGTAAGAGCCGTCCTTGTTCTAAATAAATAGAGAAACCAAACCTTGACAGTAGGTACCAGGTGAGATGATGCACTAGGGTTCTGTCTACCTGAGGCTAGGCTGGGTATGTACTAATTACTGCTTGGTAATTACTACTTGAGGTATCACCACCCAAGAATACCTCAGTTGTGATCCTCTGGGTATCAGGCACACAGCTGGGTACTTCCTCTCCACACCCGCTTCCTGAGCAGTCAACTCACCAAGCTCATGAAGAGGTTGCTATTGATCTGGCCATTGTACTCCTTGATCTTCTTCTCAATCTCAGCTTGAGAAAGGTCAGGTGTCTCCCACTCCACAGGCTCGTCCTGTAAGATGGGCTAGCATGGACACAGGGCCCTTGAGGAACCCAGAGCTTCTCTGAAAAATGGCCTCTGGAACAGTCCTTGGAAACTGACTGTCTTTGGCCCTGTCGCTGATGTATATATACAAAGCTGCCCAGCTGGTGCCTGCCCTGAACCCGCAACTGCTTCTGGTTCTGCACACTATGAGTAGATAAGGCAAAGGCAGAATCATTTGGCTTCTCTCTGCTACCTGCCTAGTGCCTCAATGTAGCCCTGAGGATACCACAGAAGCAGGGGCAACTGAAGGTGCATGGCCAGGGGCCAGGAACAGCTGAGGGACTCTAAGGAGGGACTCTCATTTAAAGTAAAATCAGGCTGGGTGTAGTGGCTTACATTTGCAATCCCAGCACTTTGGGAGGCCAAGGTAGGAGGATCACTTGATGATCCTCACAAGTTTGGGACCAGATTGGGCAACATAGCAAGACTTCATCTCTAATTTAAAAAAAAAAAAAAAAAAAGAAAAGAAAAAAAATTAGCTGGATGTGGTGGCATGTGCCTGTAGTCCCAACTATTCAGGAGGCTGAGGTGAGAGAATCTTTTGAGCTTGGGAGATTGTGGCTACAGTGAGCTATTTTTGTGTCACTGCACTCCAGCCTGGGCAATTGAGTGAGACCCTGTTTCAAAAAACAAAAAACAAAAACAACAAAGAATAAAGTAAAATCACACCTCAACTGTACATTCTGATCACAGCACCCTAGTTGTGCTGGAGTGAGGGTTTGTCCTAAAGAAGGCAGCCCATTTTTCTCCTCTGCCCCAGCACAGGGCCATGACCCACTGCAGGGTGAGAGGAGTGGAGAGTGGTACACATTAGTAGTCCAGCCACCAGTGGGCAGAGCAATAGTACTTAGAGTCAACTCCCTATGTCTCATACATAGTGAGAAAAATCACTGTGAGGCCGGGTGCGGTGGCTCAAGCCTGTAATCCCAGCACTTTGGGAGGCTGAGGTGGGTGGATCACAAGGTCAAGAGATTGAGACCATCCTGGTCAACATGGTGAAACCCCGTCTCTACTAAAAATACAAAAAAATTAGCTGGGCATGGTGGCGCGTGCCTGTAATCCCAGCTACTCAGGAGGCTGAGGCAGGAGAATTACCTGAACCCAGGAGGCGGAGGTTGTGGTGAGCCGAGATCGCGCCACTGCACTCCAGCCTGGGCAACAAGAGCGAAACTCCGTCTCAAAAAAAAAAAAAGAAAAATCACTGTGACATGACGTTTAGCCTTCACCCAAGCTGCACAAAAGGCTTGGGTCTGGACAGCTTCCTGGTGAGTTTCTGCACCTGCCCGTGCTGTCTGGAGATTTAGCCCAAAGATGTTTTCTTTTCTTTTCTTTTTTTTGAGACGGAGTTTCACTCTTGTTACCCAGGCTGGAGTGCAATGGCGCGATCTCAGCTCACCGCAACCTCCGAGTTCAGGCAATTCTCCTGCCTCAGCCTCCTGAGTAGCTGGGATTACAGGCACGTGCCACCATGCCCAGCTAATTTTTTGTATTTTTAGTAGAGACGGGGTTTCACCATGTTGACCAGGATGGTCTCGATCTCTTGACCTCGTGATCCACCCGCCTCGGCCTCCCAAAGTGCTGGGATTACAGGCATAATAAGCCACCGCGCCCGGCCGATTTTTTCTTTTTTTGGGACGAAATCTTGCCGTTACCCAGGCTGGAGTGCGGCGGGCATGATCTTGGCTCACTACAACCTCTATTTCCCAGGTTCAGGTGATTCTCCTGCCTCAGCCTCCTGGGTAGCTGGGATTACAGCTAATTTTTGTATTTTTTTTTTTTTTTTTTTAGATGGAGTTTCGCTCTTGTTACCCAGGCTGGAGTGCAATGGCACGATCTCGGCTCACTGCAACCTCCGCCTCCTGGGTTCAAGCAATTCTCCTGCCTCAGCCTCCCGAGTAGCTAGGACTACAGGCGTGCACCACCATGCCCGGCTAATTTTTTTGTATTTTTAGTAGAGACGGGGTTTCACCTTGTTGACCAAGATGGTCTTGATCTCTTGACCTCATGATCCACCCGCCTCGGCCTCCCAAAGTGCTGGGATTACAGGCGTGAGCCACCGCACTCGGCTCTAATTTTTGTATTTTTGGTAGAGATGGTGTTTCCCATGTTGGCCAGGCTGGTCTCAAACTCCTGACCTCAAGTGATCTACCCACCTTGGCCTCCCAAAGTGCTGGGATTACAGCCATAAACCACTGTCCCTGGCCCAAAGATTTTTAACTCTACCACTCACTCCCCACCTCATCTAGGAACTGGATTCTTGCCAGAAGGGTGGAATGTGGGACAGGGCAGCCAGGGCTTTGAACTGACTTTCTTCTTTCAGACTCCCTGGGCTCACAGCATCAGCTTTACTTCCTGTTGACGTCAGATAGACCCTAGTTAGGATGGGAGTGTCACAGACACAGCTGAATTCAGCACTGACCAATATTTTGTCCCAGAAGAATTCCCACAAGGTTTCCTGTAGACTGATTTTGTGCCCAGTCCAGGAGAGCCAGGGTTCTCCCTGACTACGCCTTGGAGTCCCCTTAAGCTGCTTAAACCATCTGATGGGGACAAAAGGAGAGGACAGATGAGGGAGCAGGGTGGAGCCCATGGCCTTTTAGCAGAATGCTCCTCACCCAGAACCCACTGCTATTCTGCAGCTAGCAAGGAAGTGGGGCTGAGAACTGAGGCCAGGGCCTCACGGGAGAAAGGTACAGTGGGAGGGGTGGAACTGAAGCTCATTTGCTTCCCCAAGTATCTAAAGGTCTCCTGGATGGAGGAGAGCACTGGAGTGAAAACCCCAGCACAAAACTTATTGGGGACAGTGGGCAACCTTGTCGGGTTAGTAAACAAATGGTGTGGGCCCTGGAAAATGAGGGCTGCAAGCTGTGAGTAAGCAGTGGATGTATTTGTTCAGTGTAACAATGGGAAGAAGTACCCAGATGAGAGGGGTACTAGTGGTAAGAGAAATACCAGGCACACTAGTGCCTGGGCAAGAAGGAAGATCATTCTGTTTGCAGAACAGGGAGGGCATAGGGATGGTGCTAACTTATTCTTGTGTTGCTCTGGGTTCCTACCTAAGAATGAGAAAGCTTGTTCCTTCTTCCCTTCCTGGATCATCCAGGAACCCTGGGTTGGGATGTAGTGACCTCATTTCCAGCCCCTTCCCTTCTGGAGATGAACCTCCCTCACTATCTTCATTCAAAAAACAAAGGACTTGGACTAGAGGCACTGCACAGTCCTCACAGGATTCTAAAGGAGGAAGAGTTTCTTTTTCTGTTTCCAAAGCTGCCTGCTGGAAGAGGATTTCAACAGCCATGCCCCAGTCGGATGTACTGCAGGACCATGGAATTTCCCTTCTGCATCATAGGGACCCACCCTCCACTTTACCACTGTTCATAAAAACTGTTTTTTTTTTTTTTTAGACAGAATCTCCCTCTGTTGCTTCAGGTTGGAGTACGGTGGCATAATCTCAGCTCATTGCAACCTTTGCCTCCCGGGTTCAAGCAATCCTCCTGCCTCACCCTCCTGAGTAGCTGGAATTACAGGTGTGTGCCACCATTCCTAGCCCCCCTTTTCAACTGGTTAGTTTTCCCACCTTTCCACAGTGGAAAATGGCTTAGGACTGAGTGACATGAAGACAAGCCCAGGGATCTACACTCAACTCTTGCACCCAAGCTATGGGCTGAGATTTTGGGGTGCTGAGCACCAACCCCTTTGTAAGAAATTTTGTAAAATTTTATCTAAAGCATCACCCACAACTCCACTTTCTTTACTTAAATAAGGATTTCCACCCCACTGCTGCCAGGCATACTGAGCTTCACAGTCCCTATTTCTCTCTCCTGGTGCCCCGGCCTGGTTCTCTGAGCCTGGTGGTTACACCCATGGCACCTAGCACAGAGTTCTCTTATAATGGGGACACCTAGGAGGGTCCAAGACACCTTACAGTTCTGTGTCAGTAACCTGGATCTCTTTCCACCTCTTTAGGCATTTTACAATCTAAGCTTCCTCCTTCTTGTGGATAAAATGCTCCTGAATGCTTATGGTCCAAAACAAGACTTCCTTCCTATCCATTCCCAAATCTTTCTCCAGATCCACCCTAGAGGAGGGATCAGAATCTTCCACAATCCAGCAGCTGGTGACAAGCCAGAACAGGCAAGAGGTAAGGACTCAGCTGGCTTCAGCCAGGAGTGCCTAAGGAGGAGATCTCCCTCTGTCTCTCAGTTTTCCTAACCATACTTCTCAATTCCTGGAGAGGACTCCTCCCTCTCCACTTCCTCCCCTAGTCTCCCCAAGGAGGGGGTAGGACCATCCGAACGCGGAAATCGAGGTTCTAGTCCGGACTGCTCGGTCGGCTTTAGTCATAACTGGATAATGCCCGGCTCACATCTACCACAAGCCACACAGCTGCCTTCCCTGTTCAACCGGTCGGGGACAGAAACCAAGGGGACCCCAGCACCCAGTAGCGAGACGCTGGAATCGGGGTCTTACACACAGTTCCGCGGGCCAGTTCTCGGCCAGGACCCGCGGAGAGCCACGTAGCCTGGAGGGTGGGGCTACCCACCGACCCAGGACGCGGCAACTCACCGGGGAGGGCGGGGCTCCAGCGACCGCCCCCCGCCCCTTGACGGCACCCCCTGGCTCCCACCTGGTCCCGGCGCGGCCTGCGCGCTAACGAGGTTCGCGCGGTGAAGTACTGCTCTAGCTCCGAGTCGGAGTCCTCTTGGCTGCAGTAGCCACTGCTTGTCGTGCTGCTCCAGGTCATCTCGAAAGAAGGCGTCTCCGCCTCGCCCATCGCCCTGCCCGCCCGTCCCTCTAGTCCCGAGAGTCCGCAGCCGCCAACCACCGCCCCGGTCGCGTGCGTGCATGCGTGTCAGTGTGCGCGTGCATGCGTGTCAGTGTGCGCGTGCGCCCCGGCCAGCGCAACCGTTAATACTGAAACGTAGATCGCCGGGATCTAGCTCTTGTCTCATTGGGAGAGGAACGTCGGGGCGGGGACACGCACGCTTCGCCCCCAGGAATGACCTCATCGCTCAGGCAGCTCCACTTACAGACCCCACCTCCTACAGGAAACAGGGCGGGTGCCAGCGTCTACGCAGGCGCACCAGAGTCGCCGCTGGCCGTAGGCTAGGGCCGGAACGTGTGGGAACTGCGCGGAGCGTGGGCCCGCCTCAGCCCCGGTCCGCTAGCAGCCTGCAGTCTGTGCCAAGCCGGCAATCCAGGCACCCCTCCCAGCCCCCGCGCAGAATTAGCCTCTCTCTGCCGCTAGGAAATCGGCAGTTAGAACGCTCATTGCGCGCAGCACCGGACAGCCCTCGGGAACGCCTGCAATGAATGTGGCCTGCCCTTCCTCGCTCTGCCCATACGCCCTCAGTCCCGCGCTCACCACGTTCGTGTCCCGCTCCACCGCGGGTTCCCAGCCCAGGTCCCGGGGCCCACAGCAGTCCAAGCAGACGAGTGCGCGGCAACGGTAGTGGCAGGTGAACTTGCAATCTGCAGAGAGGCCTGGCCGTGAGGCGGAGCAGCCCCAGGTCGGGGAATTGTCCCGGAGATTGAAGGGAAGCCCCAGGGAGAGGGCCGCTGCCCGCCAGGCTCCAGAGAGGCCCGGCTTATCTCAGTGGATTACCTCCCACTGTTACGCGGACTCTAGTGTTGGTCACCCTGGGCGTCTGGAAGCTGGCCAGAAGGCCAAAGGCAGCTAGGGACCCAGGCCTGCTCAACAGTTGGATCTCATCGCCTCCCGCAGAGGTTCCCTCTTCCTTATTTGCAACTTCTATGTAACACCTCTGCCCATTTACTTGAGGGAAAAACCAAACATCTTTTAAAAATATATATATTTATATAAAGACGGGGTTTCACCATGTTGGTCGGGCTGGTCTTGAACTCCCGACCTCAGGTGATCCCGCCTTGGCCTCCAAAGTGCTTGGATTACAGGCGTGAGCCACTACGCCTGGCCAAAACCAAACATCTTTAACCTACGTCCTCCCTCTGGTTGTTATCTGTCTCTACTTCCCTCAGACCAAAACACTGGTCTCTATAGATTCTAATCCGCCTTCACGCTCTCCTCCACCCACTCCAGCCAGGCTTGCCTCTCCCTCCAGGAAACTGCCCAGGACAGGGTCCTCAGCGATCTGCATACTGCCAAATGGAATCCAGTGTCCCAGTCTCCATTCTCACCCCCTCAGCATCATTTGAAGCTTGCTCCCTTTGACTCCCAGGGGACACACTCTCCCAGGTTTCCTCCTATCCCCCTGCAGCTCCTGTTCAGCTCCTTTGCAGATTCTGACTCAACTTCCAGATCTCACGGTGATGTTTGGGCTCAGTCCTGATAGCTGGCCTGGTCTCTCTACACTCACCTGCCCCAGATCCACAGCTGAAACACTGACCTAGATTAGATCCTCTGTGCCAGTACCTTCACTAGGATGTCTAAAGGACGTTTCAAGTGAACATGGCCAAAATTTAATTCCCCTTTCTTCCACCTCACTGCTACCCTTGCCTAGCTTCCTCACTGCAGCAAAAATGGCCACTATGCCCCCAGTTACTGGAGACAAAAACCTAAACTTATCTTTGATTCCTCCCTTGTCTCTACACACCCAAATTGTCCTGCTTTTTTTTTTTTTTTTTTTTTTTTTTTCTCCATGGCCACTTTATTTTTCTTTCAGAACACTACAATATCCCAGCCTTGTTCTTTTTTTTTTTTTTTTTGAGACGGAGTCTCTGTCGTGAGGCTGGAGTGTAGTGGCACGATCTCAGCTCACTGCAACCTCCGCCACCTGGCTTCAAACGATTCTCCTGCCTGAGCCTCCTGAGTAGCTGGGATTACAGGCACCCACCACCACGCCCAGATAATTTTTTTATTTTTAGTAGAGACGGAGTTTCACCATGTTGGCCAGGCTGGTCTTGAACTCCTGACCTCAGGTGTTCCACCCACCTCGGCCTCCCAAAGTCCTAGGATTACAGATGTGAGCCACCACGGCCGTCCCCTTGTTCATTCTGTGTTCTTTCACAACTTTGTGCTTCCCCCAGCTGAATTTGTGATATTCTCTTGTACCACATGAAAGCATCTCCATGCACACACAGATCTGGGCCACCATCCATCCACAAGTTCCTAAATGTTAGAATAATTTGGGGAGTTTTAAAAATTTGCTGATGCCTAGGGTCCACTCCCAGCAGTTTATTCAACAGGTCTGAGTTGGGATCCAGGCATAGAGGTTCAGAGGGCTGTAAAAGTGCCCCTGGTGATTCCAGCTGGTGTCTAGCTATGGGAGAGCAACTTTTGCCTTGCTGGCGATTCCCAGGGGTGCAGAAGGACTGCTGGGTGTGTGACTGTATTCCATATTTTAGCATCTGATTCACTGGGTCAGAAATGGGTTTTTGCTAAATTAAGATTCAACAAAACTCCTGCTTAAAGGGGGCCCACCCAAGGTTCTAACTTTTTCCAGGCTCCCTCCCATATAGGTGGGTAACTTTACACCAAAGGTTCTGGAGGGGGGTCACAGTGAGTGAATCTTTGGGAAGAGGCAAGCCTGGAAAGATGGACTCAAGAGGACAGTAGGCACAAACGCTTTCTCAAGAAAGGCCAAGGCATTTTAAAGAAACTTGAAATCAGCACATTTTTACATACAAGCAGCCACCTCTGCCCATCTGTGCCCCAGATACGGGAGGAGTGCAAAAAGGGATAAACCATTTTCGCACAGCGATGGGGCGAAAGTAACGGACCTAGTCCACGGGAGCTGTCCCCGCCGACCCCCTCTGCCGCGTCTTGACCCGCGGCGACGGCGCTGCCCCTTGGCTGCCCCTTCCGCTCTTGTAGGCGCGCGGGGCCGCTACTCACGCGCGCACTGCAGGCCCTTTCGCACGACGCCCCAGATGAAGTCGCCGCAGAGGTCGCACCACGTGTGCGTGGCGGGCCCCGCGGGCTGGAAGCGGTGGCCACGGCCCGGGACTAGCTGCCGTGCGGGCTTGCGCGCAGTACCCCGCGCGATGCGCAGCGCGTTGGCACGCTCCAGCCGGGTGCGGCCCTGCCCGGCGCGCCCGGTGGGTGCCAGATCCCGCAGCTCAATGAGCTCAGGCTCTGCCGACATGGCCCGGTCGGGCCGGGGCTTCGCTGGCTTTGCGCGCTAGTAAGCGCGGGCCGGGCGGGGACGAGGGCGGGCCCGACTTCAGCGCCGCCCCCGGGGTCTAGGCTGGCGGGGTGGGAAGTAGCTGAGGAGAGCCGCGCAATGGAAACCTGGGTGGGGGGACTGTGGGGCCCGGAGGCGGGGCTGGGCCGGGCGGGGGTGGGGGCGGTCTCGCAGATCTCCCGCCTGGCCCTTCCTTCCCTCCTTCGTCTCCTCCTCACCCCCAACCCCCGACGGCCACGACGCCGGCGACCGCAAAACACCACGTGGACCCGTGTTTCTGGAGGCCAGCTTTACCGTGCTAAAGGAAGAGGGTCCCCACATCCCGCCCTCGCCCTCCCGGGCCGGTTTGCTGAGGCAACGCACTTGGCCTGCCCACAGGGTGGGGCAGGAAGTCTCGAGCTTTCCCTTGGGGAGAGGAGGAGGGGGATGGGTCAGCAGCTTTACCACCCGGTTTGCTCTCCACCACGGAGACTGGGGTTCTGGCAGAGGCTGGCTCGTGATCTTCAGATTCAGGGGTGCGTTCTGGGTGGATTCCCTTCGCATGGGTTAGTCGGCTCTCAGCAACGACAGCCCTCATTTGGCTCTGTCACCCTGGGCTGCCAGGACACAAGTCTTTCTATGCTTTTCCCAGTGCTTGACTTGGCACTCCCTGCAGGCAGGTGGGTACTGAGGTTCGCGGCACATGTGGGGGATGTGGGAGTAGGGCTTAGGAGTCCAGGGTCCTAGCATATCCTCACCTGCAGCAATACCACTCATTCTGGCATCGCGAGCAGCGCTTGGAAGCCTCTGCACTGCAGTAGGCACAGCGGGGCCGCTCTGGAGCTACTGCCTCTAGCACATCCAGCCTGTAGGTCTCAGCCCACCTTGGGGAGAGTCAGGAAGGTCTGACTGGCCCTGGAAGCGGGGGGCACCCCTGCCCACATCCATGCCTCCTGCATCCCATCCACCCCACCCTGCCAGTTCCACAGGCCTTACCTTTGTGCCTGCAGCCGCAGGTCTTGCTCTGAGGGGCTGAACACGTGCCGGAGCTGGTGCTTGGCAATTGCCTGCCACTTGCCTCTGTTTTCTCGTTCTAGCCGCTCCCAAATTTCTGGGATCTAGGGGAGAGAAGTGAAGAGTGGCAGGAAGAAGCTGGTAAAGTAGGACAGTGGTCCTGAGCAGCTAACTTTCCAGTGCCTACCTGTTCCAACACCAGGTCCTTCTTAGGGGGCTGGGTTTCAGCCAGGGCCAGGTGGGCCAGGAAACTCTGCAGGTGGGCCAGGTTGGGCAGCTGGTCCAGTAGTGTGTCTGTGAGGAAGGCCCGAAGCTGCAAGGGTATCCAGTGGAGGCCAGTGTGATGCAGGTGCTCGCCAGGGGGCCAAGGTAAAGGAAGGGGCTGGGTTGGGCTGAGCATGCCTGTAGGGGCCCATGTCCCACTAGCTGCTGTGTCACCTGAGGCCCAAGGACTGAAAAGAGTACTGGGGCTGAGGTGGGTGGGCAAAGATAAACAGCAGGGACGAAGTCGGGGTAGGATGGGGAGGGGTAGTGCTTGGGCTGTGGGGACTGGTGTGGAGGGAGTCCGACCTTGAGTAGGTGTCCCTTGGCAAAACTTGTGAGGCAGTAGCGCGCCTGGGCCTCGGGGCTTAGCAGCAGGTTGTACAGGGCGATCCACACTTGGCCATCCAACTTGCTCAGCTTTTGCTGCTCTGAGGGGGCCACAATACGCCAACGGCTGCCATCGAACTGCTGCAGTTTGCCTGGGGAGAGGAACCAGCACACTGGGTGCAGGCGTTGCATTCTCTTCAAGTGAGCCAGCTGTGGGGCCTGGGAGACTGACCATTGCCTGGGAATGGTGGGAGAACCTGGGCCACAGGACTTGGACAGGCTATAGTGCTGCTCACCCCAGAGCAGGATGAGCTTCCGTAGTGGACGCATGGAGTGGATACCTGGCCTGCTGCAGAGCTCAGGTCTAGACCAAGCTTGGCTGAGGCATCCTGGTATCCTCAGTGGGCTTGGGGACAGGGTTTGTCTTTGGATATGCAAGCTGTCCCCCTTTACCAAAAAGATATCCTGAAGCAGTAGCCTGGGGCTTAGGCTAGTGGGGGAGGACCCTACCTCCTTCCCACCGGCTCCAGGGACTATGCTCCAGCAGTTCCACCAGGAGGCAGGGCAGGTTGTGTGTGCTGAGCATGCGGCTCAAGGTGCTGAGGGAGAGGCTAGGGGCAGGAATGTTGGGAAGGAGGTGAGCAGAGGCAGGCTACAGGCCCAGTCTTCCAGCCCTCCACAGTAGGCCCAGGCCCAGTCAGGCTGCCCACCTGTCCACGCAGTCTGTGATGTAGCGCAGTACTGAGAGGGCCTTCAGAGCAATCTCAAATTCCATCAACTCTGCCTGCTTCTGCAGTGCCTGGGAGGCCACACAGTGTTTATGCTGGGCCACTCTTGATTGCTCAGGCCTTGGGGAACCCGGACCTAGGCCTTCTTAACCCTGGGGAACCTCAACCTACTTGCATGGGGTTGTTGTCCTGGGACCCCTCCTCCTCAGGGGGGCCACCACAGCCACTCCGGGCCACCAGCAGAGTCAGTTTGCGGTGGCAATAGTCTACCAAGTCCAAGACAGTGTCTTCTGCTGACTCACACACCTCCTGGGTGAAGTGGGGAGGGAAACTTTCTGTGTCTGATGCCCTCCCCACACAGATGCAACCTTCCTTCCTGCCAGGCCCTGACCTGGAACAGTGGCCCATGGGCAGAGATAGTCTCTCACCTTGTGGAAGAACACTGTCTCCAAGAGGTTGATGATGGAGGCCTCGTGGCGTACCTGTTAGACAAAAAGGACAGGGCCTGAGGGAGGGATAGGGGCCACCAGCTCTCCTCCCGGGTCCAGAGCCCTCTGAAGGAGTGGGAGGAGGTATGAACTAGGGGCCAGCTCACCACCATGTAGATGGGGAAGGTGTTCTGAGGCTTGAAGTCCTCCACCCTGCAGAGCACGGGGAACACCTTCTGCTTCCACATCTCCACTGCGATCAGCTCCTCCACCAGCGTTGGGATCTTTGAAGTGGGGGCAAAGGACAGGGGTGAGATGGGCCTAGCCTGGCAACCCTCTCATCCCTGGCTCAGCTCAGCCCAGATCTCCTCAAACACTGCTGGGTCCCTAGACTCTCCTAGACCCCATGAGTATCCTTCCTTTTCTTTTGCAACTTGGACCTTCATTTCCAGCTGCTCCCAACACCTCTGTGGATGTCCCCCATGCTTATGTGACTGGCTCCTGCCCAGTCCTCAGACTGCCTTGCCCTGCCTGCACCTGTATCCTTATCCTCTCTCCCCCCATTCAGGCATTCAAGCTAGCCATTCTGCTCATGCCCTCCCTCTTGTCCTCCAAGGCTCTTGTGTGCCTTGGCCTCACTCTTACTCAGGACCCTTCACAGTGCCCTGTTCCTACCCTATCCCCTAGTAGTAAGCTCCACCTTTCTCTTGCAAAGGAACTTTTTTTTTTTTTTGTGAATTGTTATTTCAGGTCATCTGCTGGTGATACTTCCTGGTCCATGTTCCAGCCAGGCATCTCCCTGGTTTCTAACTCCCCTCTCTCATGTTGGGAAGGCTGCTTCCTTCCCTGCCAAAGATCCACTTCCAATTAAGTTATCTCCCCTCCCCACCCCCCCAGCCTTACAGTCAATTCACAGATGCCTTTAGCATTTGGGCCTTCCCTACGAATCCTAAGCTGTTCTAGGACCCACAACTTTCTCCTTATTCAACTCATGCCCTGCACCCGGCCTGGTGTGCCAGAGTCCTGTCCATAGGGATACAAAATGAAACATAACACATTCCTGTTTCACCTTCAGGGATGACAGGTATACCAGGCTAGAGGGCAAAACACACAGGGCATTCCTGAGGGGCAGAGTGGGTGAGGTATGGAGGAAGGCAGGAATCCTGCCTGTGACCTTGGGGTACCTTCCCATGGGTGACCAGCAGCTCCTGAATGGGCTCGTCCTGGCTGACTGTGGCATTGAGTATGGCTTGCATGTTCAGCTTCTCCACATTCTCGTGCTGCTGGTTCCACCTGCCCCAGAGGGTAAGTGCATGTGGGTGCACGTGTGTGCATTAGGAGTGAGGATGGGGGCTGGATCCTATTGAAACCTAACCTGATCCTGAGGGGCCACAGGGGCCTCAGGAGCAGTAATACTCCTGTCTCCGAACCCTCTGCTTCCCCATTTGGAGGCCCCTCCACACTGAGCAGCCCCTCCGCCCACGTCAGGCCCCAGCTCCCCCACTCAAGGACAATGACCCCATGACTCCGCCTGACCCAGGTGCCTCACCCTTCGGAGCCCATCTCGCGTAGCGGGAAGCTGCGCAGACCCCGCACCAGCACGTCAGCTTCCCCGGGTAGCAGCAGCTCCAGGTCTCCCATGTCGAGGCCGGGGTCCGGCAGACGCTTGGCAGCAGTCGGGGTGGGGATGCTAACACACGGGGACAATGCCCGACGGTGCCAAAGTCTGGGACCGGACAGTTACTGGGCGGTTGGGGAGCGTGGGTTCTCGCAGCCATGGAAACGGGTTCTTCGCGCCTGCGCATTGCGGCCTGGGCCCGCCCCTGGAGGTAGCTCTCGCCTAAATCCGGGCGGGTCTACCGTCCGCTTCGCCTAAGCCGCTGCCAATCGCTACAGTACGTGGATTCCCAGAGCTTTCTCGGGCTGTGACCCACAAGTCTCTCCCGATTCTTGTGGCCTGGACTCTTCCCTAGGACGCCAAATCAGCCTGCACAGGGATGGGGGTAACCCCGACCCCACCAGCTCTTCCTGCGGCGGCGGCGGCATGTTGACCCACCCGCTGCTCCTCCTCCTTATGGCTTCCTGATTCCGCTATTTTTCGCGTTCCGGCTCCTCTAGTTGGCTCCCGAAATACTTACTACCAGGGCGCACGACTTCTCTCCATCCAGAATGTCATCACCTGTCAATGGATAACTGTGGTAGCCTTTTCTCTAGACTTATTTCTACGCTTGGTCCTCGTGAACAGCCCGGAACCTCTTTTTAAAAAGCGTATGTCAGGCCAGGCGCGGTGGCTCACGCCTGGAATCCCAGCACTTTGGGAGACTGAGGCAGGCGGATCACTTGAGGTCAGGAGTTCCAGACCAGCCTGGGCAACATGGTGAAACTCTGTCTCTATTAAAAATACAAAAATTAGCCAGGTGTGGTGGCACACACCTGTAGCCCCAGCTACTCGGGAGGCTGAGGTAGGAGAATCGCTTGAGCCTGGGAGGCAGAGGTTGCAGTGAGGCGAGATTGCATCACTGTACTTCAGCCTGGAGGACAAAACGACCCTCTGTTTCAAAAAAAAAAAAAAAGTGTACAATTACTCCCTGGCATGAGAGAGGCTCTGCAGCTACTTCCGGCCCACCAAATGCTAGGTCTGTCAAGGCTTACTAGCATCTCTGCAAGATCTACTTCTTGCCCTCTCTCATACTTTGGGACTTGGATTCCTGCTTCTTTCCCTTGCTCCCCTGGATCTCCCTCACACATTCCAAAGAGGTTTTTGCTTCAGGGTTTTGCACTGTGCCTGGAATACTCTTCCTTCAGGGCTCAATTTACACGTTGGATGGCCTTCCTTGGCCATTTAATCCAGAGCAGTCCCTGCTTCCAACCCAACTCATTCTTGATCACATTTTTCTTTTTGCGATGGCGTCTCCTCTGTCACCTAGGCTAGAGTGCAGTGGCATGATCTTGACTCACTGCAACCTCTGCCTCCTGGGTTCATGTGATTCTTCTGCCTCGGCTTCCTGAGTAGCTGGGATTACAGGTGTGCAGTAATCTGGCTAGTTTTTTGTATTTTTTTAGTGGAGATGGGGTTTCACTATGTTGGCCAGGCTGATCTCGAACTTCTGACCTCAGGTGACCTGCCCACCTTAGCCTCCCAAAGTGCTGGGATTATAGGCATGAGCCACTGGGCCATGCTACATCTGTTTCTTTCTAGGTTTATTTATTATTATTATTTGAGACAGGGTCTTGCTTTGTCACCCAGGCTGGGGTGCAGTGATGGGATCACAGCTAAATGTAGCCTCCAACTCTTGGCCTCAAGCGATCCCCTCACTGCAGCCTGAGTGGCTGATTTTTTTTTTGATAATTAACCAGCGCTTTTACTTGTCGATTGTCAGTCGTGTCCACCAGATGGCGATCTAGCGCACAGGCTCATAGCTATTTCATTCATCGCTGGGTCTCCTGTGGCCGGCTCAGAGGCAATACTCAGTAAGATAGTTTGAAATGGATGACTTTATTTACAGAACTAAGAGTCAACCTCTAGACAGTATGACAAGCCTACTTGCAGGAGGGACTACCCAAAGCAATATGTGCATCCAGCCACCACCAGCCTCACTTCCAGCAGATGATGATGTTGGGGTCATTTTCGAGCCGCTCATCCAGCTCATGGTAGCTCATGCCTGGGTGGGGTTGTGGAGAAGAAGTCAGTGGCCTTGGCCTGGCCACCCTACCCTGACCCAACCCTGACTGCCCACCTGCCTCCACCTGTCTTGCAGCAGATCTCATCATAGCTGTGACAGCCTGTATAAAGCCGGGCAGGGTGGCTCTGCTCTTCCCGAGACACTCGTACAGGATACTTCTGTAGTCGTCTGATGAGGTTCTTCATAAGCCCGAACTGGATCAGCTTCCTAGGGTGAGGATGAGAGGACAGAGGGTGATACCCTGGCCAGGCCTTCTCTCAGGCAGGCCAACTCTTTTCTGTAGTCTCCCTTCAGTTTTGTCTCAGTAGCCCATCATCTCCAGGAAGCCTGCTTGGATTAGCAGCGCCCCATGACCCAGGGCTGCTGAGAGACATAAAGAGTCTAGCTTCCCTCAGGTAACTCCCAAATACCCCAGCGAATTATCTGACCGTTCGTCAACATGCTGCAGTTGTTGGGGGTGGCGGCCAATGAGGTCTCGCACGGTAGTGCCAGGGCTTAGGCTGCAGTATAGCTGGAACACATCCCGGAGACTGGCCCTCTTGTGCCCTGTGGGTGCCAGGGGTCAGCTTACCATTTGGCCCTGCCCTCCCCAAGCTGGCTTCCCCCAGAGCCCACCAATACCTTGCTTGGTCACATAGGATAGACATGCCTCCTGCAGGGACTTGTCATCTACCAGGTCCTGGACCTTAGGCGTCGGGCAGTACACATTGGAGTACTAGAGGGCAGCAGAAGGCATAGGGGCCTGAGTGAGGGGCTTGGGAAACTGACACAGCCCTGATCTGGTCCAGCCACACAGTCCACTCTCCACTTAACCAAACCCAACTCACCTACCTGGAGGATGGACACCAGTGTTACAACGCCATAGTACCTGAGAGAGACAGCTGTGTTCAGCTTCTGAGGACCATGCCTTCCCAACCCTCATACCCTAGGGTCCCTGAGCTCTTCCCTGGCTGGTGACCTTGTACTGGGTGTGACTGTAGGTCCACTCACAGCAGGTTCTGGATAGCAATGCGCACCAGGTTGAGCTCCACGTCTGCCTCTGCTGAAATCTTCTGGACATGGCGGAACCCATCAATGTAGGGCAGGATCTGAGCAGAGTAGGACAGGGTCAGAGGGAACAGGATGAGGCCAGGGCTGTGGCCAGCCCAGATGATGATACCCGGGGAGGGATGGCATACCTGTTGTGTAGTGAGGTCCCACTGCGAGTTGAAGAATTCCTCCTTGTCTTTGGTAAAGACAGGTACATCATACTCCTGGGCCACTGGAGGGTCTGGCCGCTGCTCAATCACCTTCAAGTGGATGGTGTTGGACTCATCTACAGGAGGTCCCAACCACATCCTAAGTGCCACTTCTTCCAAGAGGCCTTCAATTACCATCTAGTACTCCCAGCATCCCTTGGGGCAGGCAGGTGCCTCTCAGTAGGGCTAGTCTTTCTCTTTTTATGGAGTAAGAAATTGAGGCCCAAAAAGGGGAAGGAATTGTCCAAAGGGCAAAGCTGGAGAGCTCCACTTCCCCCCACCCAACCCCCAGTCCGGGCTCCATCATGCATTGGACGCTGGACATGGGCACCTCAGCCAGTGGCTATTTCTTGGCCACCAATTTGTTCATGAGTCTTGTCCCTCCCCCCTACTGGCTGGACTCACTTTCCCATCTCTCCTCTACCCCTGTGCTGTCCTTGCAGAGGCTGGCCATACCAATGGGCAGAGTGCACCGGCCCGAGGCATTTAGCTCCTCCAGCAAGATGGTCATGATGGGCACCAACTTCTGCTTGCTCTCTTCCATGGACACGAAGCTGCTCTCTAGCTAGATAGAGCATGGACAGCATGGTGGGCATATCCCAGGACCCCTGGCTGGCTGGTTGCGCTGAGTCCTGAGCTGGTTGGCAGGGTCCCAGGTTTGGGGGACTTTGGAGACATAGGAACACCTTCCCCAACTCTGCCTGTCTAAACCCAAGCCCATCTCATTGCAGACCTCTAGTGTGGTCAGATAGCCAGCCAGCTTTTTAACGATGGGCTCGAGGGCACAGGTCTTGGCCTGGGCATCACACACGAAGCCCAGGTTGAAGAGGAGGGCATTGCGGCTGTACTTCTTGTGTTCGATGCACACAGGACAGCCGATCAACTTCTTTTCCATGGCTGTGCTGGATAATTGGAACAGAGTCAGGCACCTAAGCCTCCTCCTTCCTCCTCCTGGGACTTCCCCTGCCACCTCCCCTCCCCCGCTCATCCCAAGCTAAGGCCTCACACAGTGATAAGCTTGTTCTGCAGCTCTGGCTTGGTGATGATGTACACTTGGACTGTGTCAAACAGCTCTCGGGAGATGAAGTCTTCGGGGACCTGGGGAGGGGAGTGGCAATGGTCCCCTCAGTGGACATTTGTACTGGGTGTAGTACAAATGGTGATCTCCTCATGCTCCCCAGGCCCAAGTCCTCTTGTCTTAGCGTTCCCCTCTCTCCCACCCACTCAGGCCTGTGACTTCTTTCTGTTTCCAATCACACGCTATGATCTAATCTCCTTCCTGGCTTGTGCATATGCTGTTCCCTCTACCCAGAACACTTTTTCCTCCCTATTTAAACTTCTAATGCATCATTTACTCTTCAATCAGTTCAGGGATACTCATGGTTCATCCACCTCACCTTCCGTGGGATCTGGAACACCTCAACCGGTTTCCTACAGCCCGATATCTTACAAACACTGCCAATGTGACATATGTTTTCCCTGCCACATCGGGAGCCAGAGGCCTGGGTCTGACTATCCTCTAGCCTCACAGTTGTCCGCGAATGAAGTAGCGTGCCTGCGTGCAGCACGGGATCTACCGCCTCTAGGTAGCTGGCTGAGCTCTCAAGAACGTCCCTCTCCCCGCCCAGTCCTGAGAGCCCGGGTGGCACCTGATAGGTGATCTTGGGTCCCAACGTGGGGTGGAACTCGCTGAAGAATATGCATTCGATGCGGCAGCCGCTGCCCATTGCGATAGCCGGGCCCAGGCCCGTAGCTCCTCGTCCCTCGCGCGGAGGCGTCCCCACCTGCTGTGAACACTTGTCAGAGACAGCCCGAGGCCTGTGTCGCTGGGGCATGGAAGCTTGAGAATTCCTCTGCCCAATGGCGCCTGCGCAGCGCGACCCAGAGGCGTGGCTGGTGGGGGGCTCGTCCCAGGAAGTCCTGGATGGGAAGACATCGCACCCGGAAGTAAAGCGGCTCCGCGACGGAGCAGCGGTGCGCGCGGTAGGGCCTGGAATATCCCGCTTTCTTTGCAGGAAACCACCGCATCAGATCTGCTCTGCAGGTGAGGCAGGCAAGTCTCTAGCGTGGAGGGGCAGTATGCCGGCACCACTTGGGGAGGCGGCGCGCGAAGGGATTCACGCTGTAACTGGGACCGCACCAGGGAACTACAATTTCCATAGTGCTCTGCGCCCTCCCAGCTGGCTCTACCGCCGGCGACAGCGTGGTACACTTTGGGATTTGTAGTTTTACATGGCTTTACGAATCCTACCTGGAAGGCGGGCCAGCGATTGGTACCAGTTCAGACGTGGGTACACTCTTGACAGGCTGCCGGCCCTCGACTGGCCTGCTGTGACCATTCCTGGTGCTGGGCTTGATACTGTTCTTTTCTACCATAACTTCTTGGAAGAGGGTGGCATTCTTGCCTTGCAGCCTTTTCTCCAGTGAGGAGTGAACAGTGGGCACCTGAGACCCTGGCCCACGCTACTATGCTTTCAGGCTGCAGCCACTGGCACGGCTGACCATGGCCCTTTCTGCGGAGACCGAGTCGCACATCTATCGAGCTCTGCGCACTGCTTCTGGGGCTGCCGCCCACCTTGTGGCCCTGGGCTTTACCATCTTTGTGGCTGTGCTTGCCAGGCCTGGCTCCAGTAAGTAGAATTCATAGTTGACTTCTAGGAGGGGAAGGGCCACTTTTCCTGGGGAGGAAGGGCAGTGGGACTCTCGGGAGCAGGCCTGGCTAGCTGAGGGAATTCCGTGCTGGAGGGATGAGTGGGGTGGAGCAGGTAGGTGTGGACGGGCCACACAGGGTTCCTGGCGTCTCTTTCCTTATTTGAGTGCTCTATTTGGCTGCCTCATGGGAGGTGCAGGGGAAGGAGGGAAGACTGCCAGAGAAGTGGCAAAGCATGGCGTCTGATCCAGGAAGGCGCCAGGAAGAGAGGATAGGTGTGGGGTCAGTTTGTTGCAAAGCAAGAAGGGACTCACAGTTTGGCAGTACCTCCTTGGGTGATGGGCTGCTGGTATTCCTCAACCCTTAAGGATCGGTATGGCTGCTTTCTTCTTGCCTCAGCCCCATGAGGCCTCTTCTTCTCATTCCAGGCCTGTTCTCCTGGCACCCGGTACTTATGTCTCTGGCTGTAAGTAGTGGGCCTGGGCAGTTCTTAGGGGTGGGAGCATGGGCATGGGTGGTGGCCCTGGCAGCCTCTCAATCTTTGTCCACACTTAATATCTGTTTGGAAGAGTTGCATGCTCCAGCTACTCCTGCCCATGGTATATATTTAAGACTCGAAGCTGGGTGCAGTGGCTCATGCCTGTAATCTCAGCATTTTGGGAGGCAGAGGTGGGCAGATCACCTGAGGTCAAGAGTTTGAGACCAGCCAGGCCAACATGGTGAAACCCCATCTCTACTAAAAATACAATTAGCTGGATGTGGTAGCACATGCCTATAATCCCAGCTACTCAGGAGCCTGAGGCAGGAGAATCGCTTGAACCCGGAAGGTAGAGATTGCAGTGAGCCGAGATCACTCCACTGCACTCCAGCCCGGGTTACAAAGAGAGACTCTGTCTCCCCGCCCCCACAAAAAAGACTTGAATCAGAGTAATTAAGACCCAGGTCAAACAGGTGAGGTTTGTCTAAGCACAAAATTCGGCTTCACCCACCTCCGGGCAGAAAGGTGAGAAATTGCATTTGGATGTATGTACCCTCTGTTCCTTTTTACCTTAATCTCTGGTGATGCACCTAACTTTCCCTGAAACAGTCCACTCATGTGGCCGGCTCTTGCCAAGAAATTGTATCCAGCCCGAAGTTAGGAAAACAAAGCTTGTGAATCATTTATAACTGCCACATCTCAAACCCTGTGTTTGCTTGGTAACATAGCAGAGATGACATTTCAGACTAGCACCTAGGAAGAAGTGTGGAGATTATTCAGGGCACATATATCATCCCAGATGGGGTTTTCCACTCTTGCCTCACCAAATGGATAGTCTTGTCAGTGGGGAGAGAAAGAAAAAGGGGAATCAGCCCAGATTCGCTGACTGAGGGTTACATAAAGCTCTCTTCCCCTCTTGTGGGGCAGCACCCTCACTTAAGTTTCCCATCCCCTGTCTCCTCAGTTCTCCTTCCTGATGACCGAGGCATTACTGGTGTTCTCTCCTGAGAGTTCGCTGCTGCGCTCCCTCTCACGGAAGGGCCGAGCACGCTGCCACTGGGTGCTGCAGCTGCTGGCTCTGTTGTGTGCACTGCTGGGCCTCAGCCTCGTCATCCTCCACAAAGAACAGCTTGGCAAAGCCCACCTGGCCACGCGGCATGGTCAGGCAGGGCTGCTGGCTGTACTGTGGGCAGGGCTGCAGTGCTCAGGTGGGGTGGGGCTGCTGTATCCCAAGCTGCTGCCCCGATGGCCCCTGGCAAAGCTCAAGCTATACCATGCTACTTCTGGGCTCGTGGGCTACCTGCTGGGTAGTGCCAGCCTCTTGTTGGGCATGTGCTCACTCTGGTTCACTGCCTCTGTCACCGGTGCAGCCTGGTATCTAGCTGTACTATGCCCTGTCCTCACCAGCTTGGTCATTATGAACCAGGTAAGCAATGCCTACCTATACCGCAAGAGGATCCAACCATGAGCTCTTCCCAGCCTAGGGGAAGCCTGGATTTGTCCCTCCATGTAGGAGTTGGGACTAGGTACTTCTTGAACTCTCTCAGGTCAGGGGGACACCTCAGGCACTGGGACAGTTGGGCAGTTGGAGGCCCGTGTGTAAATTCCTGCTCCTCATGTTGGAGTGCCTTCCATTTCCTTCCCCTCTCTTCATCATCCCAGAGGAACATAGGCATCATGTGTCTGGATGAAGCTGGGGCTGTAGGACTGCTTCCCCTGCAAGGCAGCTCATACTTGTACTGTATGTCCAGAAATTTCAGGAGAGGAAAAAGTAAAAAATTAAAAAAAAAAAAAAGACTGAAAAGACTGATGGGAGAAGCAGTCCAGAGTTGGGAATGGTTCTTGTTAATGTCATCGGCATTGGAAAATGGGCTGCTGGGTAAGATGGGGACCCCTCCCGATCCTTGGCTGCTCCCTGAGGGGCTGAAGCTCTCCCAGCACACAAGTCCCCAGGATCTAGCTGCTGAGCTTCCCAGGACACTCAGGGCCCTGGCAGGCCCTACAGCTGCAGCTGTGAATGGTACAGCTGTGTGTCCTTTGCATCCCCCAGCTGTCCACTGCGGTGGAGTCTCCAGACTGGGGGTTAGATACATACAGTAACAGGATGGGAGCTGGGGGTGGGCTGTCTCCAGGGGTGGCAAGCAATGAGTATTTGTCTTAGAAGTAAACCGTGGATAAGAACAATGCCTTATGATAGAGAGGCCCTTACCATCAGATCTAGGCAGGGACAGAGGGCCTCCCAAATTGGGGATCGGAGGGGAAGAAAAAAGGGAGTAAGGGTCTGAGGTAATAGCTCTTGGAAGGTTGCTTGGTACTGGGCATGTGGTAGTGGTGGTGGTGGGGAGCTGGGGCAATGGACTTCTTATCCAGCTGGAGTTACCATGGAGACAACCAAGTCTCTAACTTTGCAGTTGAATGTGATGGAGGGGCAGGGGGGCGGCACAAGGTGGCCTGACAAAAGCCCAGGCAGGGGTCATTCCTCAAAGAACTGCTTTATTGATACTGCGAGCCTGGGCTTGGCTGCACACTCAGGTGGTCCTGTAGAAAATACCTGGGAGCTGGAGCTGCTCTAGTCCAGAAGCAGTCATGGCCACAGCAGAGGGAAACAAGAAATCCCGGCAGGAATAGTCTTTCTGGAGATGTGGGCTCCTGCATTTGCTGGGCCCCCAGAACATTTTTGGCAAATCCTTGCCTTAGCTCAAGGCTCTGGCAACCAGTTTCAGATGTAAGGGCCAGCCCAGGAGCTGTGGCATCAGTGTCCTTGCAGTCACTTGCTTGGGACTGCCAGCTGAGGTACATTCTTACCTCAGATGAGGGCCTGGATTGGCTAATGCCTCAGAGACCCCAGGCCTGGCATAGTGGTTGTCTGGAGTTGAAACCAGGTAGCAAGAGTCCTGGGTAGTGTTGGTGAGAAACAGCAGAAGGCCATGGACACCCCCAGCGGACCTTCTTCCCTCTCCTCAGAGCAGTCAGGAGCCCTAGAGTAGCTGAGAGGATGTCAAGGGGGGCTCGGGAGAGGTGTCATACTCAAGCTGGTCTGGAGTTACAGCATCGGGGGAGCTGCTTCGAAGGTGATTAGACTGGATTCTGGGGCAGCCCCCTTCCCTGGGGGTACAGGAGCTTTGTCTGAGGGTAGGGGGCTGTCCATCTTGGCCCCAGCCTCCTCTTCATCATCATCCATGCTGGGCCAGATGGACTGGTCCTCCACTCTCTTCAGCCGCTCATTGAGTGCCTTCAGGGCGAGTTGCCTGGGGCCAGAGGAGAGAGGACAGGTCACTCTGGGTTTGGCCTTGGCTCATGCCGTCTCCCCTTCTGCAGCAGGCTGACTCCTCCCCCAGAATCCCATGTTTCCTCTTCCCCATGCAGAGCCTGGGGCTCCCCTGAGATTGGTTTAGGGACCACTCTGCCATCATAATGATAACCCAAAGGCCATAAGAATCTTCATTCCATAGCCGAGGCACCTCCAGGCTGGGAAGGTCAGCTGGGTGTCTGCCAGACTGCCCACCAGGCCAGCCATAGGAATGGTTCTGAGGGTGGTATCTAAGGGTGGGTGGAACAGCAAGTTCCTGGAGTTTCCAGGAGTTTCTGTCTGGGCGCTGGCATCACATCCAAGGGAAGGGTTGTGTTTTTTTTTTTTGAGATGGAGTCTCACTCTATGCCCAGGCTGGAGAGCAGTGGCATGATCTTGGCTCACTACAACCTCTGCCTCCCAGGTTCAAGCAATTCTCTGCCTCAGCCTCCCAAGTATTACAGGTGCTCACCACCATGTCCGGCTTGTTTTTGTATTTTTAGTGGAGACGGGGTTTTACCATCTTGGCCAGGCTGGTCTGGAACTCCTGACCTCATGATCCACCTGCCTTGGCCTCCCAAAGTGCTGGGATTACAGGTGTGAGCCACCTCGCCCTGCCAGGAAGGGTTACAGGTTAATTCTCCCCCTCTCCTGGTTAGGGTATCTCAAGCCTCCTGGCAAGGGTCAATGGGGAAGGCCGGAACTCAACACCTCCCTTGGCTCTCAGCCCAGGAAGCAAGGCTAACTTGGGTGAGTCTACCCCTCCTGAAGCTAATATTCTCCCTCTCAGAAGAATCACCAAAGCCACCAAGGCCCTTGTTAGAGCAGGGACTTAGTGGAGCCCTTGCAAGAGGAGAAGGAGGAGAAACAGCCCACATGGGAGGCACAGGCCAGAGCCTGTTGGTTCCACGGGGTAGACCCTTAGAGGCCCCGCTTTGAGGGCAGGTGAGAAAGTCCAATAGAAGAAGGTTTACACATGTGCCTGGGACCCTGAGGTGGAGTGCCTCAGCTGCTAGGGAACAGTTCCAGCAGTACTGCTGTGGACCCCTATGCCTCAGCCTCTCTGTGCCACCAATGTGGGGACAGCCTGTGTAGCCTTCCAGGTTCCAAGTGAGAACCAAAGTCTCCACCATGCCAGGGAACATGACAAGAGAGGCAACAAGGACACGGGTGTAGAAAGCCCTAGCACACTTCCACCCTGCTCGTCAATCTGGCACATGACATGTTGGTATAGACAGGACAGGCCTTCCCTGCTGCTTCCCAGGCTCCCATCCTAATGATGCCCTTGCCAGTTTCATCTAAAGCCTGCCAAAGCAGAGAGCTAGTGTCACGCTGGTCACTTCCTCCCACTCCCCGTAGCCCTTTGGAGTTGGGTGTGGCCATGCAGTCAGATGTCAAACTGGCTGGAAGAGTAACACCCACTCCCATGTAAGCTAACTACCATAAGGCTATGCCAAGAACTCGCCTCTTGACCCTTCCTCCCCACCAACCTGCTTTCCCCCGTCCAGATTTTTGGGCCTGAGCAGAGGTTTCTGAATGTCCAGTCAACCCTAACAATCCGACACCTCTCAGTGGAGGAGGGGTCCCCACCAGCCTGGCCCCATCTGAATAGCTCTGAGGGACAGCTCAGTTCCTACCAGGCCCAGCTCTCCTGGCCCCATCTTTAATACTGGCTAAGGTTAAGACAGACTTCTGTCCTTAGGGCTTATCAACTATAAAAACCCAAGCTATAGAGCCTAGAATTATGCCCCACAGCATGCTGTATATACTTTACAACACCTACCACACCTTGGGCCATAGTGATCTGTAGCCCTTCCCCAGCTGGAAATCCTTCAAGAAAGGAATGTATCCCACACTCAATTCCACAGTCCAGTGGACAGTCAATACAGGGATAACTGCAGCTGAATTCACAGAGCTTCCAGCCGGAGCCCATTGACAGGTGAGCAAAAGCAGGAGCCTTGGCAATGCAAGACAAGCCTGCCCCAGATTTTACTACTCAAGTAATTGCCTCAAAACACTTAGGAAAGTGTTGGCAATAGAGCTGTGGAACTTGTGAAAGCTGGGACCACTCTGCTGGGTGGCAAGATCTCGGAGAAAGAATAAGAGCCGAATTTAAAAAGATCCCTCCTGCCCTGGCCAAAGTACATTCAGTCAAGAATTCAGGCCGGGCGCGGTGGCTCAAACCTGTAATCCCAGCACTTTGGGAGGCCGAGGTGGGTGGATCATGAGGTCGAGAGATCGAGACCATCCTGGTCAACATGGTGAAACCCCGTCTCTACTAAAAATACAAAAAATTAGCAGGGCATGGTGGCTCGTGCCTGTAATCCCAGCTACTCAGGAGGCTGAGGCAGGAGAATTGCCTGAACCCGGGAGGCGGAGGCTGCGGTGAGCTGAGATCGCGCCATTGTACTCCAGCCTGGGTAACAAGAGCGAAACTCCGTCTCAAAATAAAAAAAAAAAAAAAAAAAAAAAAAAGAATTCAGCTGGGACTCCTAATGCTGTGGATGGCTTGGTTTACAGATAACAAAAGGGCCATTGCCATTCCCTGGTGTGGTCAGCAGGCTCCCTCAGTGGGTCATGTAGCCTGTCCCTGGTTTTGGTGACACATGCCTGCTGGAGAAGGCAGTAAATTTGGTAATACCCTCAAGCTTCCCTCTCGATAAATAAGTGGCAGAGAAGAACAGCATCTGAATTAAAGTCCAGGAAGAGGACACAGCATTTGGAAACTGGGAGTGGCCCAGATCACTTTTTGAGGACCCCAGGCCTCTTTCCCTGTCCCTCCCTCAGGGGAAAGGACCAGCAGGTTGCTTCTGGTTCCCACAGGCCCAATGTCTAGGATTCTGAGATTCTGAGGCAAGGCCAGGGTTCTGTACCTCCATTGGGCCTTCATAGCACCAAAGGAAACTGCATTTCTTGAGATTTATTAAGTGGCCTGAGAGGTGAGGAAAGTGCCTCGTGGAGCCGAGACACCTGAGTTCCTCAAGCCCAAAAACGGATTTTATCTTTCTGGATCTGCCCCAACACCTGACTGTAGGTCTCCACCTTATGTACAGCAAACACCTCAACAGATGGCATGTGACTCAACCAGTACGCTCCTAGCTTGACAAGATTTTGGAAAATTTCACAGTACCTTCTCCGCTCGGCATCTTGAGGGTCTGTGCCTGGCAGGCTAATGGTGATGGAGGATGGGGCACCCACATCATAGCGCTTTACCGTCTTCTGGCATATCTTTACCTTCACCAGGAGGCCATGCACCAAGTTTGCCAGCAACCCCACCACGGGCTGCAGGATCTCAGGGAAGAAAGTGGCGAAAGCAAAGTGGTCAGCCATGTCCCCTCGGCCCCGGCTATGGCGCTGGTAGAAGCGAAGATACACCCAACTGGAGAGCAACCCGAAGCCATAGGAAGCCAGCGCTGGGCTCTGGAGCAGCGTGGTGAGCCGCAGCAGGAGCAGCAGTGCCAGCAGCAGCATGGGCATCACACTGATGCGCAC